CAATATTTTATTTATTAAATAAGGTAAGTCATTGGTATATAGTATATATGATTTAATTAACTTTCCTAGATTACTACTAATGCCATAGAACTCCAGTTTAGGCAATAGGACATCATGATTCCCAGAGTCAAATGCCTCAGTCAGATCACAGAAAAGTCCTCCTACTCTTAATTTATTATCAAATGCTACTAAAATATTTTTATCAAGTTATATGTGGCTACCTCAATAGATAATTTGGCTCTGAAACCATACTGTTCTTGTGCAAAGTATTGTTAATATCTATTATTGATATCTTGATATCTTGTGATATTGAAGTCTGTTATAGATGATTTTTTCAAAAATTTTAGAGAAAGATGTCAGGAAAGAAATTGGCCTGTAATTAGTCATTGTTGTTCTATCTCCTTTTTTATAAACAGGACTCACCTGCGAGTATTTTAGTCGAGTAGGAAATATTCCTGAACTCAATGATTTATACTTATTTTTAAGATGTTTTGTGGGATCTCATCATATCCCTTAGAATTCTTCCATTTTAATGACTTAATTATTTCTTTAGTAGTGACAGGAGTCATGTTTATATTTGGAAAAGGTTGTTTGTACACCTCATGCAGGTAAGTTAAAGAGTTAGATATATCAGTTGGTTTATTAGATTGCATTTGATTTAGTGGAGTTATTAAATAATTATTGAAAATTTTTGCCATAGTTTGTGGTTTACTGTATGATTTCCCATCAGTACTTATAGATGATATTCCATTACTATATGACTTGGCATTAGTGACAGATCTACCAATATTCCAAGTGGTTTTAATTTTATTTTTGGAATTTGTAATAAGATTATTGTAATGATGCTTCTTTGCTAACTTTATGATATCAGACAGAATTTTACAATATTTTTTGTAGTATCTTACCATTTCAGGGTTATCAGTGTTTCTACTAAGCACAAATAATTGTCTTTTATGGGCACATGATATTTTAATTCCTGTTGTTAATACAAGTTTCATTTTTTTTTTTCCAAATATTTGTTTAACCGTTCCAACTCCTTCAAAGAGTTGATTAGCTATCTTTTTGTTACGATTCTGCCCTGTCTTTAAGGACAAGACAAAAATATATATATTATTTGTTTCTGTGTTCACTTCTAGACCAATTACTACCAAGAAAAACT